TAACTGTCAATATCATGAAAACAGTTATTCAGAAGAACCTTTTTTATCACAGATTTGAATTGTTTGAACTCCAATACCCTGACATATGAGTGAAGAGTATTGAATAAATTGATATTCAGAGTTTTTGCAGCTAACAGTTAATCTGTGACGTGGAACTGTCAGTGAATCAGCTAAGCTTGTATTGTATGTTACATTTTGTTGAATCTCTAACAAAACTGTATATAAATATGAAGTAGGCATTGGCATGGTACCTAGTTTGATGAAGTGTTCACGGTCATGTTTTCGATACCCTAAATTTGCTTGTATTCAAATAGCTTTCTTCTGACATCTGCAAACTGCTGATGCATGACTTGAATATTGCCAGATTAATTTACCATAAGGAAGCACAGGATGAAATGATGCATAATATGATATTTCCAAGACGCTGAGAGAGTTTTGAGGTCTGGTCGTAATATATCTCTGCTGAGCAAAGAGTTGTATCATCAGCGAGTAATACACATTTTGTAGAAATGTGATGACATAAGTCATTGATATAAACAATGAACAGGAACGGTCCAATGACAGACCCTTGAGGTACTCCATGTTCAACTAGTCTGTATTCTGACTTGATATATCATTCAACTCTACACACTGAAATCTGTCTGTTAGATAGGAACGAAGCAGGTCCAAAGTGATGCCCCTAATACCATAATGATAAAATTTTCATTCTGGAGTGCGATAGAAAATCAAAAGCTGAATCACACAGTGACAGTGATGTATGTTTACTTTGATCGAAGCTTTCCACTATATCTGTCACGATTTTAAAGGCTGATGCCTGAGTTCTTGATTTGTTTCTTCAAAAACCTTATTGTGATTCACTGAAGTAAAATCTTGTTCCAAAGTGTGCTTCCTCTATCAAGGTAGCTTTTGTCATTTTATGCACGATCGGGCGTGATGTATCACTTTTTTGCCCGGAATTGCGGGCGTTAAGTGACACTTTAGCGCCCTAGGTCGATGAAGGATTACAGCTGGCGGTCAAGTAATCCGTTGAGCTGTGAAGTAGGTGAACGGGCGGTGTTTTCTTGAAAATTCTTAGTTTACTACCTCTCTATCTTTCTTCGCCAGTGGCATACCATGATTTGGCCAAATGAATAAGGAAATCATCGAAAAATGCCGTATTGATATTGAATAAATGTCTAAAACGGTCGTGCACAAAATGTTGATGTATTCAGGGCGTAACTTGCTGTAATGGGTACTATCGCTCGTGCTCTTACTTACAGGCTGCGGTCTAATAACTATTATGAACTTCTATGTAGTTCATAAAGACATCACCACAACTGTTATAATCAACTTGATGCGAGATTCGCAGGAATGGCACATGAATCTAGATAGTAAATATATTTATCAATCACGACTTGTGCTGTCATGGTCATGACTACTAGATTTTAATTTGAATTGCGAAGAAGTGCTTTCATAGTGACAGTTTCACAGAACTATAATGAATGAAACAAAGCTGACAAGCGTCTAGTTAGACCAGCAAATCGATCTTTTACTACGAGTGAAGCGATAGCTTAATGGTCTGTGTATTAGACTTCCACGGTGGTATGACTGGAGTTCAATCCCTGCGAGGTGTCAATTCTTTTTTTTTTCATTCACTTAATTTTTCAAGCATATTCTTTTTAGGAAAGAGGTTCATTCAGGACAAGTTAGGTTGAAAGTACTTTTTCATGCAGAAGAACTATTTTCCTTGCTCATATTACCATCAATTAATCTTATAAACACGAATAACCTTCAGATAACCTTGAGGTTTGAAAGATTTGCTGATGGTCTACCATAACCTATATTTCGAATCGTTTTGACATTTCCTAGAAATTTGCTTACCAGTTCCACAAGATAACAGTTTAAATTTTGTAGACATTACAATCGAGATGAACGCATTGTGGCTTGAATGCTTCAATCATGCGGCTTCGATAATGGATATCACAGGACTATAGAATAATCCTGATAGGTTTATCATGATTGCCTCAGTTTAATCATAATCCGCATAAAAATGTCTAGACGTCATGTCATCATCCTTTCATGAAATAATATTTTGCGTAATGAAAAACGAATAACAAAAGTTGAAAAATATTTATTAGTACCAATTACTATATTATATTACTAAGCTTAAACTAATCTCACAGTTTATTATGAGATTTAGCCATGAATATACAAGTAAATGATATTTCAATGTCAAATCTGAAATATATTCACAATGTCAATAGATGGGTTATAATACTGACCCACACATTTTTTTAAATTCGAATGTAAATATTATTCTTCTATGGCTATAGATACATAACACAAAATTGAGAAGTGCTTAAATATTTCGAACCATTTCCATCAAGTGATATGTTTTGAGACTTTTTTTATTGCGGATTATTTTTCGAGATACAATAATAATTGTGGAGGCTGAGTTTGGTCAGATTGATTTATTCTAGTCCACTACTATAGCAATGCCGTCATCCCACTGTCATAATTTCTGTAGTGATTTAGGATTTCAAGGATGTTTCTCCTTCCTCTCAAGACCACGAGGGCCTTCTCCATAATCATTTTTCGTTTTTCTACGAGCTAATGCGCATGCGGCCATAATAATTATATCACCTGATTCTCTGTGACCAATATGGCAATGAGGTTTGGGAATGGTTCGAGAGCTTTAGGCTCTCGTCATTTACTGTGTTCGATAAATCAATGATGTACTTTGTATGTCATCAATTTTATTTTCGTATCTGATTTCACAATGACTTCAATTGTGTTATAATTTCACAAACTATCAAGTCTAATGACATTTCAAATTTTAAGTAATTACAGCTTGGTCGCACGGAATGCTTATTTCCCACTCGTATGATATGCAGCATTCCCTACGGCTCATGCTGCAAACTTCATTCTCGTGGGAAATGACTATCATTCCGTGCTCGTTAAACAATATACTATTTAGCCTAACTGAAGTTGGTTGATGAATAAATAAATGAAACTACCTCCAGACATATCTAATTTCTATTGACTGATAGAAGATAAAACGATGATTGTACAAACACTAATCTTGTCAACTGCGCCCAGTGGTCTCAGTACAAAACCTGAAAAAGAAGGTAGCATTAAAACAAATTCAAATGGAAAATTGTGTGTTTGTTTTTCAGTGAATATGAAAACAGTACCTATAGTAAAAAAGATTTCCATATCGGAATAATCTGTGTGATTGCTGTATCAACGATTTTCTAATTTTTATTGCCACTTTGGTAATTCAACATTGATATTAGTCACTATACCAACGGTCACTGTTAACAGTTTGTCTATATACAATTTTACCTGTCTTCATTCAAGAGTTTTTCATAATGATACATAATTTCATTGTGATTTTGGTAATTGTTTGAACAAAAAATTTTAAAAAAGGTGAAGAAAAATCTGGTTAGTTTGTTAGGTTCGCTAGCGAAAAAAACTCTGAATCAATTCGTCAAAACACTTCAAGCAATCACAACATGGCTCCAGGAAAATGAGTGACATTTCAGAAGAAATCATTTGATTCGTCCTCACTCCAAGTATATATTGAAATAATAGTTCATTGTAATATGTTCATTCATTCAAGGAGAGAAATGCCCAAAAAATCAGAGAAACAGAATTTTGAGGTCGATCAGGATCTAACCGAATGTCATAGTTATCTTTATTCAAAACCTGCGAATTTTGATTTTAATATAGCATGATTTTCACGAAATTCAGCAATATTAGTTCAGATCTAGTGCGGGTTTCAAGTTTCAGTAATCGAAAAGATTTGAATTCAATAATTCCTGAAATAGCTACCAGAGGAGTGACCTACCAACAAACACAGGAAACAAAAATTCCAAAGTATAAATCGGAGCTATAGATATATGAGCGCATTGAAGCTATATATACTAGCGTCCCCTCCAATGTATGTACCGAAACTGTGATCCGATTTCGAACTATCATAAAAAAGGAGACTGTTTAGCAAGAAGTTTATTGAGAATAATGCTACTATCGAGATCTGCTGCAAAGTTCAGAACAAATAACAACCGTGAAAACATTTCGGAAATCTACCCTAAGGTACATTGAGGAAGGGTTGTGTGTTGTGTGTGCATATTCTCGAATAGGGATCCAATAACTTGGTAGATTTCAATGCAAACAAAACACAAGCATGCCTTTTATCTAGAAAAGCCGATCTCAATGTGCCAAACATTAGCTCGTCAGGAGTAACCATACTTTTAGAGACATCCATTTCGATTCTTGGTTTTACTATCAGCAATAACCTTTCCTGGGAAAATCACGTGAGATTAATTGCTGAAACTGCATCCCAAGAACATGATTTTCTGTTTCGGGCCAGGAGCTATTTCACTTCCAGTCAGCTGCTTATGATCTATAAGGCACAGATCCGACCTGTCCTGGAATACTATTCCCATATTTGGAGTGCAGCACCCAAACATACTCTGAAACTGTTGAATTCTGTTTAAAAAAGGGCAATTCGTCTCGTGGGTGATGCCTCGCTCACAAACTCACTCACTTCTCTGGAGCACCGTAGGAAAGTGATCTGGCTCTATTTTATAGATATTTTCATGGACGATGCTCTTCTGAAATATCAACAATTGATCCTCCCTTGGCAGTCCCCACGACGGGTTACGTCGAGTTGAGGTTTCGCACCCCTTCGTGGTCACTTTGGAGACATGCAGAACATCTCTTTCCAAAGACTCGTTCATCCAACGAACAGCACGACTCTGGAACACATTGCCAAGGGAGGTTTTCCCTGAGGTATAGTACCTCCAGAAATTTAGGAAGAACACCTAATGCCTCCTTATTTTATTTGATTCTCACGATGTTCTCTGAACATTACAGGATATCCCTTTTCATGGGAGCCAGACAAAGTCGACCTGAACATTCATATTCCAAATTGATTTCGTCACAACATGAAACGAGGAATTTGATTTTGGGAAAAGGTGAAAAATCAAGATGACTGGAACACTTCGTTTGTTCACTAGCTTATTTCATCACTCACCTTCTTGCTCACTCACGACATAAACAACACAGCAACGACAGACACGCCAACCCACAACAAAACCCTCGACAACACTCGTCATCCTGCTGTGGTTGTGGCGGCGGAGGAGGTGGCGGGTAGTATTGAGGCTGGTATCCAGGTTGCTGGAACTGAGGTGGTGGCGGTCCAGACGGCGGGGGGCCGTATTGCTCCGGGCCGTAGCGTCCTGGTGCGGGAGGTGGACCTTGGTAGTTAGGGTTGTAAGCCATCTTGATGCTGCAAACAACAGTTAAGAAAACTAGAATATTCTGGGAGATGATAATTGTAATATCATGGCACATTTGGAATATCCTGGAACATTCTGAAACTATCCAGATCATTCTGACACATTATGGAACATTTCGGAACATTCTGGAACATTATGGAACATTATGGAACATTATGGAACATTCTGAAACATTCTGGGATATTCTGAAACATTCTGGATGATTTTGGAGCATTCTGGAATATTCTCGAAGATTTTTAAATATTCTGGAAGCTATTGAAACATTATGTTTCCACAATGTAAAATATTTTCGATCAGTCAAGAAGATTCAATGATATTCCGACACTTTCTTGTATATTGTCGAACATTCTGGAAGGTAATACATAAATAACACTGCGACAAGGAACATGCCAGCCCACAACGAAACCCAAAGCAGGTACTATCTCGATGAGAAAAATAAAACATTCGATATTGGAATCATTCTGGAATATTCTGGAAAACTCCCGAAGATTAAGGAACATTCTGAAAAATTCTGGAATATTATCGAATATTCTAGAATGGTTCTACGATTCTTCCGGACGAGTCTTCAATATTCTTTGACCATCCAGAACATCATGGAACATTATAATAGAATTTTGAAGATCCTCAAATATTCTGAAATTTACCATAATATTCTAGAGTGTTTTTCAAATATTCTTGACGAATTTGGAACATTGTAGAGGATTCCAGAACATTCTAAAACACTTTCGGAGATAGTTTGGAGAATGCAGGAACATTATAGAGACCACTCGAATATTTTAGAATGATTTTCCACCTTCTGGAAGATTCTTCAAAATCCTTTCACAATCCTAATAGAGATTTCAAAATTCTCGGACATTCTGGAAAATCCTTCGATATGCTGACACATTTCAGAATATTTTCAAACATTTTCGAAACTCTTTGGATATTGACATAATGTTGATGATTTCTTGGATATATATTCTGGAGGATTCTGAATTTCTCTAGAGAATTCTGGAACATGCTGAAGACCGATCAAACATATTAACTTGATTCTACACCTGGGTGATTTTTCAAAATTCTTTCATAATCTGGAGTATTCTGGTATAACTTCAAAGATTATCGAACATTCCAGCATCTATGGAATTCTGACACTTCCTAGAATATTGTCAAACATTCTCCGTGAATTGAAACGTTCTGACATGATCCATACATCATTTCTTGAATATTCTGGAGAATTTGGATCATTCTAGAGGATTCTGGGACATTCAAAAATATTCTTGAATATTTTTGGAAGATTCTGGAAAATTAGAGTTCACTCGAACAATATGGAAGGATTTTACATCTTCTGGAATTTTGAAGATTCTCCAATAAGATATAAGAACCAATAATATTTTCCAGAGTATTCTTTCTGGAAGATGTTTCAATATTCTAACATAATCTAGATCATTTTTGAACATTCTTAAATGTTGTATAACTTTCTGGGTTTTTCTAGAAAATTATCAAACATTCCAGTAATTCTTCATTAATAAAAATATACAGGGTCGCTGATATGTATGGAAACAGGTGAATATCTCGGCAATCTGTTGTTAGATTTTTTTGAATTTATGTACAGTGTGATTTCAAAACATGGCGGATTTGAAAATGTTATAGCCTCTGTTGCCGCTTTTTCAGTTATTCCGGATTTTTAGTAACTTCCTTATTTTGAATGAAACACCCTGTACTTTATTGGATTTCCAGATTCTCCCTGAAGAGCTGATTCCATCGATCTATCATACTTGGGGTCGAGCGGGAATGATTACGTAGGTATAGGGTGTTTAAAATCTAGGTTTTTCAACTTCAAGATTTTTTTGTGTAGAAACTATCCATTATCGATCAAAACCGCTTCAATGTTCCTATCTTCACTTTCGATTTACCATCTACTGACTATTTAATTGGAACAGATACAGAGAGGGTGATCAGAATTCTGAATCTTGAACCACCCTGTATTTGTTGCAATTAAATGTCAGTAGATAGTAAATCAGAAGTAAAGATGGGAACATTGGAGCAGTTTTGATCGATAATGAATAGTTTCGACACAAAAAATTACTAAAGTTGAAAAATCTTGATTTTAAACACCCTATACCTACGTAATCATTCCCGCTCGACCCCAAGTATGATAGATCGATGGAATCAGCTCTATATATTCATTCCTGCTAGACCCCAAGTGTGATGGATTGATGGAATTAGCTCTTCAGGGAGAATCTGAAAATCTAATAAATTACAGGGTGTTCTATTCAAAAAAAGGAAGTTAATAAAAAATCCGGTATAACTGAAAAAGTGGCAACATTGGCCATAACATTTTCAAATCTGCCACGTTTTGAAATCACACAGTACATAAATTCGAAAAAATCCAACGACAGGTTACCGAGATATTCACCTGTTTCCATACATATCAGCGACCCTGTATAATATATAGTTACCTTTGAGTTTTCTGTAATTCACAATCAACTTCACTCAAACGATAGACTGACAAACTATCTTATCAGTACACCTTTGTAGGATGTAATGACACTTGAAGATGTATACCACGATATATGTTTGATAATAGCGTTTTATCACTGATGATATAGATCTACGAAAAATATCATTTACTAAACCTTCTCTGTAGATGACTTTTCCTGAAATAGTATAAGTGCTAAATTTTATTCACAATCTACTAATCTTATCGCTCCATAGAGATAACCTTCATGATATCCAGGAAATTGATAAAAAAATATTATTTTCAGCCTAAATCCGATAAGGACTAACATAACTGTCCACTTGAAGTACCTTTTCCAATAATTATTTTGATCCCAACTTCGTATTATTTCTAATTCCACATAACTATTGGGATTTAATCTCGAACTTTTCCCAAAAAGAGTTCATGGTCGTTTCCATTTTTCATTTCGTGGAAAATAGCTGAATGGCACCACATACAGATTTCAAAAATATAGATTATCAACTCAAATTTGAAAGAGTAACACGTACTGATTCATCATATTATAAATCGAAGGACCTCCAGTGTCACACGCATCGATACCAGTTTGCCTAATTCATTTCTCATAGGTTTGTACAATTCCAGGGCCGCACTTAGAAAACTCAATTTATTTTTAACTGTCAAAATTTCGACTTTTTGAATCGTATTTTTCGATAACATCAGAATCAGAAAGATCAGAAAAAACACTACTAGTGTGGTTTTTCAATTTGTACGGCACACTTCGACATTAGTGAAAAAATATCGAACAAAATATTATTCAAACTATTCGAAAAACCATAAGAGATCTTCCGAAGATATACAAAAAATGTATACAGGGTGGGCCACCAGTAACGCCTCGGTCTCTAGAAGGCTAACCACTTATCTTCTTGGAATTCTTCCTCTCTAGGAAGTTTAATGTCAACATAGGCTACCATTTGAAATTATTTTGAAATATACAGGATGTCCCCAAAAATCACAAAACACTGAAGTTGAACTTTTTTCAATCGAACACCCTACATATTATTTCATTTTGAGATTCTCCTTGGTGAGCTGATTTCAACAATCCATCATACTTGGGGTCTAGCAGTTATAATTACTGAGATATAGGGTGTGAGAAATCGAGATTTTCCAAGTTCAAGAATTTTTTGTGTCGAAACTATTCATAATTGGTCGAAACGGCTCACATGTCCCGATCTCAACTTTTGATCAACTCTCTACTGACATTCAATTGAAACAAATACAGGGTGGTGCAGAATTCAGAATCTTGATCACCCGGTATATGTCCCAATTAAATATCAGTAGATAGTTAATCAAAAGTTGAGATAGGGACATGTAAGCCATTTTGACCAATTATGAATAGTTTTGACACAAAAAATTCTTGAACTTGGAAAATCTCGATTTTTCACACCCTATATATTTCAGTAATTATAACTGCTAGACCCCAAGTATGATGATGGGTCGTTGAAATCAGCTCATCAGGGAGAATCTCAAAATGAAATAATATATAGGGTGTTCGATAGGAAAAAGTTTAACTTCACAGTGTTTTATGGTTTTTGGGGACACCCTGTATGTTTCGAAATTATTTTAAATGGTAGCCTATGTTGACATGCAACTTCCTAGAGAGGAAGAATTCCAATAAGATAAGTGGTTAGCCTTCTAGAGACCGAGGCGTTACTGGTGGCCCACCCTGTATATAGGAATTGGGGAAGAGGCCATTTAGAGAACCTTCGTTGAAAAATATTATGATATACTGACGAATTTTTTCCGAAAATCATAATGTTTTGTAAGAACCAAGTTCATCTTTACGCAGATGACTTCCAATTATACAGGGTGTCCGGAAATTATGCGCAAACAATCAAGGGGGTGATTCCACAAAATGAAATAAGAAATTCATTTCATATGAACCTAGGTCCGGAAATGCATAGTTTTCAACATACAGTGTGTTGAAACTTTGAAAAAAGATCGGTTTTTCATGAATATCTCAAATGTCGTTCCACCGATTTTCTTCAAATATGGCAATTCTATTCTTTGTCATGAGGGGCTGATATACACATAATTCAATTGGAATCTTGGAATCCAGTGGCGTCCCAATGGGCAACCTACCGAATATTTTTGTCAATAAAATGTGCGCTACTGATTTTTTTGAATTGTGTATCTTCATAACCTATTGAACAACTAAAAATACAACATTTTGGTCTCATGTATTGTTTTGCTATTTTGCTGCGTTTCCGCGGAAAAAAATAAATACCAATTCATTGTATAAATTTGGGCAGAATATTGCTTCAAAAACAGGGGTGAAATCAAATGTGTGATCCATGTCCATAGTCGTAGAATAAGAATGAAGAATAATTATCTTCATATATTTTATAATATATGTTTGACACACTCTACACTCAGTATATTGAGAACTATGTATTCTCGGTCCAGGAAGGCGTAGTTTTCGATAATAAGTGTGTCAAACATGTATTATAAAATATTTGAAGAAAATGAATCCCCA